TTTCATGACCGAGCTTTTGATAAAGTTGCCTAAAAATCCACAAAAAATTCTGGGATGTAAATATCGACAAACTGATTCGAAAAACGTAGATTGTTAATGGTTCCAAATCAAAGTATTCGGCTTCAAATTAAATTTTTTTAAATACATATTCCAAAAACAGCCAAAATTTAATTTTTGGAATTTTGGAAATATAGTTGAAATTTTCTAAGAAATGTAGTCGAAAATAGCTTCTGAAAGCCGAAGCTGCAAATAATCTCTTAAGTAGATAAATTCCGACAGTGCTCGAAAACAGGTTAAAAATGTCGACGTTGGAGGGGGAGGGGAGGGGGGAATAAATTGAGCTTAAGTTGCCTGAAAATTCACACAAAATTCTGACATATAGCCAACGGCGGCCTGATTCGAACAATTTGTTGATAGTCTCAAATTAAGATTTTCGAAATACTATGTTTCAAAATCGAATTTTTAAAATATCCCAAAACTGATCATTTCACTTTGGTAGTTCTGGAACAATAGTTGGAATTTTCAAAAAATGTTGCCCAAAATAACTTCTGCAAGCCGAAATCAATAAAAAATTTGTTTGTGGAATTTTAGGTTTCAAAATCAAATTTTTAAAATATAAAAAATAGTAATAATTTGTTTTGATCATTCTAGAAAAATGTTTGAAATTTACGAAGAAATGTGGTCCAAAACAACCTCTGCAAGTCGAAATTAACAAAAAAGTTAATCAGTAATTTTTCAAAATGCTCGAAAAAGATCAAACATTTTGTAAGGAGGGCTAAAAACTTTCGAAATTTTCGGTTTCGAAATCAAATTTTTGAAACATCTCCCAAATGCCCATATTAAATTTTGCTGATTTTGGAAAAATGGTTAGCAGAAAACAACGAAAAACTTCGGGTAATTTTCGAAAACTAAAAAACAAGACAAAAATTTCATGATTCCAAAAAGTTCTCTAAAATTATTCGGTTTCAATATAGGATTTTTAAAATTGCCATATTTTATTTTGCTGATTCTGGAAAAACGGTTACAATTTTCGAAGAAAAGAAAATAACTTTCAGGGAATTTTGGGAAAGGGCTCGGAAAGCTCAAAAATTTCATGGGGGGTGAAAATGGAATATAAGTTACATAAAAAGTCCATAAACATTTCTGAAATATTCGAAAAACAACCTGCTGATAGTCCCAGACCAAAATTTTCGAAATTTTAGGTTTCAAAATCGAATTTTTAAACTATCCCAAAAGTGCCCATATTTCATTTTGGTGATTTTGGATAAGTGGCTGAAATTTTTAAAAAAAGGTTGCGGAAAATGACTTCTGCAAGTCGAAATCAATAACAATTTTTTTGTGTAATTTTCGAAATTGCTCTAAAAAGGTAAAATTTTCATGTTTGAGCTTTTGAGGAAGTTAGCTAAAAGTCTGCAAAAAATTCTGGGATGATAGACATCGACGAGCTGATTCGAAAAACAGATGGTCGCAGATCACGATTTTTGAAATTTTGATTTCAATATAAAATGTTCAAAATATAAAATTTTCCAAGAAATGTGGTCCAAATTCCGAAATATATAACTTCTGCAAATCGAAATTAACCAAATAGTTTTTAGATAATTTTTCAAAATGCTCGACAAAAGTCGAAAATTTCCTAGGACTAAAAACTGAACTTAAATTCCCCAAAAATACACAAAATATTCCGAGATATAACCATCCATTGGTTTTAAAGCCAAATTTTTAAAATATCCCCCACCCAAATGACCATATTTCATTTTGGTGATTCTGAAAAAAATTGTTAAAATTTTCGAAAAAATGTAGTTGAAAATAACTTCTACAAGTCAAAATTAGAAAAGTTTTTTGGGTAATTTTTCGAAAGGGCTAGGAAAAAAATCAAAAATTTTATTGGTGAAGGGTAAACATTGAACTTAAGTTACCTAAAAGTCCACAAGCATTTCTGGGATATTCGAAAAACAGCTTGCTGATGGCCCTAGACCAAGATTTTCGAAATTCAAGGTTTCAAAATCGAATTTTTAAAATATCCCAAAAATGACCATATTTGATTTTAATGATTTTGGATAAGTGGTTGGAATTTTCAAAGAAAGATTGCGGAAATGACTTCTGTAAGTCGAAATCACCAAAAAATCTCTTTCGGTAATTTTCGTAGGTGCTCGGAAAGTAGTAAAAAATTTCAAAATTGAGCTTTTGACAAAGTTACCTAAAAATCTCCAAACAATTCTGGGAGGCAGACATTGACGAGCTGATTCCAAAAACCGACTTTTAATGGTCGCACATCTAGATTTTAGAAATTTTTGGTTTCAAAATCAGATTTTTAAAAGATCCCAAAAGTGCGCATTTTTCATTTTGGCACCTTTGGAAAAATGGTTGAAATTTTTCAAGAAATATGGCCGTAAACAGCGCTTGCAAATCAAATAATTTTTGGAAATAGTTGAAAAAATGTAAAACATTTTATGTTTGTTCTTTTGACAAAGTTGGCTAAAAAACCACAAAAATTTTGGGATTATAGAGATCGACGAGTTGATTCGAAAAACTTATGGTGTCAGATCAAGATTTTTGGAAATTTCGGTTTCATTATAAAATTTTTATCATTAAAAATGGTCATAGTGCATTTCCGTGATTCTGGAAAAATGGTGGGAATTTTCGAAGAAATGTGGTCCAAAACAACCTCTGCACGTCGAAATTAGCAAAAAAGTTTATAGGTAATTTATCAAATTTTTCGAAAAAGGTCAAAAATTTCATAAGGGAGCTTAAATTTCCTAAAACTACACCTCCTATTTCGAGACATAAACATAGAGGAAATGATTCGAAATACAGCTTGTTGGCGGTCACATCCCAAGATTTTCGAAATTTTCGGTTTCAAAATCAAATTTTTAAAAAATCCCCAAAATAATCCTATTTATTTTGGTGATTTTGGAAAAATGGTTGGAATTTTTGAAGAAATATTGCAGAAAATGACTTCTGCAAGTCGAAAACAACTAAAAACCTCTTCGAAAATGCTCAAAAGCAGGTTAAAAATTTCTGTTTGATTATACCTAACATTTTTAAAGTATCATAAATTTTTATGATGATGATCATTTGATTATGTTTCATTTTGGTGATACTGGAAAAATGGTTGGAAATTTCGAAGAAATGTAAGGCGAAAATAATTTCTACAAGTCAAAATTAAAAAAAAAAATTCGAGTAATTTTGCTGAAAGGTTCGGAAAAGGGTTAAATATTCCGTGGGTGGGGGTAAACATTGAGCTTAAGTCAATTTTCGATGAGGTTTCAAAGTCTAATTTTTAAAATATTCCAAAAATGCCCATATTTGATTTTGGTGATTTTGGATAAATATTGAAAGTGCTCGAAAAAATGTAAAAATTTCCAGACTGAATTTTGACAAAGTTGTCTAAAAATCCCCAACAATTCTGGGAAATAGACATCGACGAGATGATTCGAAAAACAGTCTCTTGATGGTCCCAGAGCTAGATTTTCTAAATTTTCGGTTTCAAAACCGGAATTTTGAAAAATCCCAAAAATGGTCATTTGTTGATAGTCCCAGATCAAGATTTTCCACATTTTCGACTTCAAAATCAAAATTTTAAAATACGTATCACAGAAATGGCAATATTTCATTTTCGTGATTTTGCAAAAAAGGTCGAAAAGTTCATGATTGAGCTTTTGACAAAGTTGCTTAAAAATCCACAAAAAGTCTGGGATAAAAATATCAATGACCTGACTTGAAAAGCACGTCTGTTAATGGTTCCAAACTCAGATTTTGGAAAAATTCTCTTTCAAATCAGAGGATTCGAAAAACATAGCCTATAGATGGTCTCAGACCAAGATTTTTTCATTTTGTTAATTTTTGAAAATCTTAATAAATATTGTGGTATAAATACAATAAATTTTTTCATATACAAAAAAATATGAGTCCTTTATTAAACCACAAATAAAAGAACATGTGACATAATTTTAAGTTAGATTTACCTCAGAAAATTTTGTGATGACGTCACCAAGTTTTGGGGAATTATCATTTGATGAGTTCTAATTAGCGATTTACCATAGTCATGATAACCCTAAAATGTATGCATTTTAAAGCAAAAAAAAAAAGTAAAATTGATTTTTTTCCGAAAATTTAGATGCATCTGGTGGACTTGTAAATTACAGATACAAAGACACCTTAAATCGGATTGACTTAGCAAAATTGTGCGATGACCTCATCAAATTATTCGGTTGCGATCATTGGACAAATTGTGGTTTAGGTCTTTGTAGAGCATTATTAGCTTCTTTAAAACTTGAAAGCAAGCGTATTGTGACAATTAATAATTTGCATAAAAACATACTATAAAATTAGTGGCAGTATAAATCCGTCACAGAAAAATCTGACCTCTTTAGTAGTAAGCAGTTAAAACGACTATATATGGTATTACCAACACTAGCTTTAATGATTCATAAAACAAACCTATTTTTGAATAATAAATAATACCATAACACGCACCATCCGCCGGAAATTCTGCACCTAATCAGGTGACTAATCATAACATTTATTATTTATTAGTTAATTATTTCTCAATACATTATCCAACGACATCTCGAACTAATTATTCCTTGTCCTCGTTCCCCTATGACATAATCATAAAAATAATCCTTTTATCACTGTTACAACATTCCTCCCATTACAATCCCATATGAATTTTAATTCAAAACATCCATTTACATAACCATTTCTGTTGACTTTCGTTGATATCATTGTTGTTAAAATCGATTAGAACAATTTCGCAACGAAGAGAAACCCCGCATTCACTCACACAAAGCATTCAATTAATTCATAATTTCCACCTTCCACACTACCCATCCATCACCTTGAACGCCACCTAGACCCAGCACGAACAATTCCCCAAGTACGCCTCGGCGTATCGGTGTCACCAAACACGATTATAAGGATGAGCAGCACACCCATTGTGGTACGCAGCTCATCCTTGACGCCAAGTGTGTACACAAGCAGATTGTGATGCAACTTACATTGTTGACGAGCAGTCCGCAGTAATCGCTGCTCCCCTGCTGGGCCATCAGATTGATGTCCAGACCGACAGATTTAGCACCGTCTCCGTGGACCATGCAGCCCGGCGTTCGGTAGTCCCTGGCGTGGACGGCGCCGTAGAAGCTGTTGTTGAATGCTACGCGGATGTTCATGTTCCCGGCTTTGCACGTGGCGGAGACCTGGGGGATGAAGTCGCTGTCGACGAGCTGACCCCATACCTGGAAAAATTGAGAAACGTGATTTTTGGTGTGGCGTCATGGGTTTGATTTTTAGTAATGAGGTTGCAAAATTGCATTTGAAATCGGGTAGAAGAAACCCGTAGGTGCAAGGCCAAAGTTTTTGGTTGAGGAATGTGAAATTGTCTATTAGGAGCGGATGTGGTTGGTGTCAGGCACGAGGAGGTCGGGGCTGATTTTATATAGTAAATATGGGTTTGTGATAGGCTAAGTATAAGTAAATATCCTGAAATGGTTTCAGGTATGCACTAGATGCACTCACCTTGATGTGATTGTCACTTTACAAGAATCCAGAAAACGCTATATAAATCAAGGTGACTTAAGGACAGTGATGTTAAGACTGATTAACATTCTGCTCTTAAATGCAGTGAATCTAGCGTTAACATCAATTATTTACTTCGTGAAGTGTGTAAATACCGGGTAGAATAACATTAATTTAAGCTTGATACAATAAAATCTTGGATTTTAATTTCTCAAATAAATGGCAAAATTACTAAAACTAACAATTTATTTAATACTATTTAGCTTCTGTCCGCCAATTCGCTGACAAAAATTTTGAGGTCAATGTTACTCTGCCGTCATGGCCTACCCCGTAGGGAAACCGGTACATTTTTGCGAGGAAATATGGATTTTGCAATTATGGGGCGGGGCCTAATGTTTTAAGTTTCATGTTGTGAAAAGAAGTCTACACATATTAAAACAAAAAGGCAAAATGTAAGCCCGCCCACCCGCCCTATCTCAATTGTGATGATTTTTTTAATTCGCCGTGAACCAAGGAGGCGGAGCTTTACTCCAAAATACATATTTCTTACATTAAGCAAAAAAAGGCAAAATATAAATTTAATTTTTTCTAGAGAAATAATCGCGATTTTGCAATTTAATTGGGGCTTATTTTTTGCCTTTTTTCTTGACTTACGTAGCCGTCTTTTCAGAACAAAAAAATTAAAACATGTTTGATGTGGTAAATTATTGTAGACAAATATGGATCTTGCAATTAAGCCCCGCCCCTCTATCTGACAACAAATGAAAAATTCATCACAATTGAGAATTAAGATCGGGGCGGGTATGGGTGGGGCCTAATCTTTGGCTTTATTTTTTTTCTTAATATACATAGTATTCTTTGAACAACACAATACTCAAAAACATGTTCTTAATTTCTCGTAGACAAATAAGGGTTTTGCAGTTAGGCTCTGCCTTCTTGGCTCACGACGAATAAAAAAAATCATCACAATTGAGATAGGGCGGGTGGGCGGGGCTACATTTTGTTTGTTTTTCTTAACATGTGTAGACTTGTTTGGTATATTACAAAAAATCCGTAAATGTTTGTAGTAATCAACTTAAATCCTGCATTTTTCTTCTACAACCACTTTAAATACCGTAAAAGTTGAACATCAAAGTTATGTACTATCAACGGCCATTTGGCAGCGGTGTTTATAAACGACAATTTTCAGCTCTAAAAGCAACGTCAAACAAGAAGGCAAAATGTAAGCCCGCCCACCCACCCTGTCTCAATTGTGATGAATTTTTTCATTAGCCGTGAACCAAGGAGGCGGAGCTTAACTGCGAAATATTTCTTTTTTTTTTTTCAAGAAATCAAAGGCGGAGTTTTTCAGCAGTGGAAGGATTCATAAAAAAATTTGCTAAAGGTTTTTTTTTTTAATCTGTGTTACAATATTTTGTGGAAAGATAAATAAAGGTACGCGTTTTCTCGTGGTATCAATTGAATCAAATTTTAAAATACAGAAAGTTTATAAAAAATTCCAAAACTTTTACCATTTTCAATTTTCGATTGTTTAGATTTTTTAGAGAGAACATAATTTATTTCTTTGTATCTTATTCTATTTTTCGTTCCTATTCTTCGATGTGCCTCTTAAAATAGTAAAAAATTGCAGTAACAAAAAACAGAACCAGATACAGTAATAACATATAGGATATTCTATTTGAAAAAATTAATATATGGATATTTGAAAATTGTAGTAATCAAAATTTTTTATGAACCCTCTGTATACAACAATACCATTTCATTTATATCACAACAAAGCGCGCACCTTTATTTATCTCTCCACAAAATTTTGTATCAAGGATTTTAAAAATAACTCTACTGCGATTTTTTTTGTGAGTCCTTCCACTGCTAAAATCCAAGAAAATTGGAATAACGTGGCAACGTCGCATCAGAATTTCAAAAACAAACTGTGGTAGTGAAGCCTAAGAAGAGTAAATCAAAATGTCTAACAATATATAGGACGTTGCATTAAAAAACTAAGTTGTGTTTTGCGCCTTAAAACCAGAACACTCTGTATAGGTAAAAATAATTTTAGAGCAACTTTGCTTTCGGTTTCGAATAGTCAATGGGATATTCAGAAACGCGCAGTTAGTGACTCATCCTGTACATATGGTAAGCCTAGTTTATCTGACACCTGAAATTTAATGGCGCTAAACACATCTATGTCTACAGGGGGAGTCACTAAAAAAGTCAAAAAAATTGTACGGTTCTTTGATGACTATACTCTAGAAATTTTTTTCACTATACAGAGCGTTCTGTTTTTAATGCGTAACTTAGTTTTTTTTTTTAATTAAGCACTCTATCTAACTTTACATATTTTAATTGAGCTCTTCTTATGATTTACAGTCACAGTTTACTCTTGAAATTCCGATGCGACATTGCCACGTTTTTCCAATTTTCTCGAAATTTTTTGGTAGTATAAGGGTCCAAAAAACGCTATAGGGTTATTTTCAAAGTTTGTCTTACAATATTTTGTAGAAGGATAAATAAAGGAACGCGTTTTGTTGTGGTATCAACAAAACCAGATTTTAATATATAGAGGGTTTATAAAAATTAACGTTACAATTTTCAAATATTGATTTTTCTGTTGTTACAAATGGAACACCTTGTATTTTAATACTGTATCTTATGCTATTTTTGTCCTCAAGCATCGACTTTAAATATAGAAAATACTCAGCAAACAAGAAAGAGCACAAAAATAGAATAAGATGCAGCAATAAAATACAGGGTGTTCTATTTGAAAAAACTGGAATATCAATATTTAAAAAGTATAATAATTAAAATATTTTTATAAAAACTCTAGGATATCAAAGTTTAATCTCATTTATTCCACAATAAAACGACTATCTTTCTTTAATTTTATCTTTCCAAAAATGTAACAGATTTTTTAGATAACCCTACTGTAATTTTTTTGTAAGCCCTTCCATTACTAAAAAAATTCAAGAAAATTGGAATAATTATTACAACGGCGCAACATAATTTCAAAATCTGTGGTTGTAAAGCCTAAGAAGAAGTCAATTAAAATATGTAAAGATATATAGACTAATTTGTCCATAGTTAAAAATATTTTACTTTTTTTCTTTTTCTAATAATTATTAATGAGATATCGAAGAATGCGTGTTTAGTACATATAAAAGTGTAAACTGACTGACTAACTAACTAAATATCATTTGTGAAACAAACTATTTTAGAGAAGTATACTAAGTATTTTTTTAAGTAAATGCGACTTCCATACAATATTTCATCCCCTGTTTTATCTCCTTAAGGGTGCAATTTCCAAATACACGAGAACAGGTACATAGTGTTAATTTCCAACTATAAGCCTACATATTCAAATTTTCATCCCCTATTTGATCCTTTCAAGGGTGGAATTTCCAACCAGAAGCCTAAATGTTAAATTTCAAGGTTTTACTTTGAAAATGTAGGACGGAACGAAAATGAAAAATTTCATCCCTTATTTTATCATCTTAGGGGAGGAATTTCGAAAAATCCGGCCTTATTCCTTGTCTACATCATGAAAAGCTGGGCGTTGACGAGTCAGTCATTGAGTGAGTCAGGACCAGGAAGTTTCTTTTTATTTTTATACGGAGTGTTCAAAAAAGGTGCACCAACTCTATGACACGTTGTTCGGGACCATTTATGAAGCACCGAAAAAATAATTTAAAAAATCCTTTCGTCCAATTGTAGAAGATATAACCCTTCAAAAAAAAATTGTTTTTCAAAATTTCACCATTTTTAATTTGCTACGTTGTGTTGGTATTTGAAATCGATTGGACTTCCATTATTCAAAATAATTTTCGAGTTATCTTCTTTTCATCAATAGATTTCTTCGTTATATCACTTACAAAAACCTTAAAAAATGTTTAGAATAAATTTGACAATAGTGGCTAACTTTTCACGTTTTCTGATCTATTTATCCATTTCGATATTTTGTTTCTGTAAACGTCAAATTGATGCAAAGAATTTTTTAATGTTTTTTCCGGAACTTAGACTTGTGAATTTAATAATGTATCGTTGAATTGTGCGCTATTTTTTGAACACCCTGTATATTGATTTCACCAACAATTTTTCGCGGCTCTCAACTAATTTCACGATGTACGATGTAACACGAATCTATGCATTGAAGAAAATTAGAAACTCAAATACTGAAACAGCGAAAACCAATAAGTGATTTTTTTTATTCGGTCGACTAAAGCGGTAAAGAATGAACCACTACTCAAATAATGTCAAACAAGTCTGAAGATTTATTATCTCATGAAATAAAAGCGATTTATCAGGCCACTGAACTTGTTCGTCAGGTCATGGTGTGAATATTTTCGGATGTGCAGTCATGGTTTTAGCCAGGGAATCTCCAATATTTATTCATGGACCCTTTGGAGCTTAGTTCTGTGTTGCATTAGTCCTTTCTTGTCCTAGTTGACCTCGATAAAATGCGCCTACTACATGTTATGTGACAACACACCTGGTGCCAACTCAAGAAGAATTACAAGTGAGTTTATACAGTCCCTCGCTAACAAAATATCCTCTCCTGACGTCAAAGAAATGGAAATGAAGAAAACCGCCTGACGTGTGGATGTTGACTCTCCATTTAGGAAACGCTTTCGGTTTCAAGAACATAACAAACAAAAGAAAACTGTTCATTTCAACACGCCGACCTTCTCGTTTCGTTGTGTCAACCCACACAGTTTTCGTCACAAAT